TGTGAGGCACAATTTACCCCATACAAAAACTAGTTAATGTGGAAAAAGTCCTTTTAGTATGTGAAAGGGAGTAGCAGTGAAGGAAACAACATCCAACAGCCTGGGGCCATGTGCTCTAGCCATTTCCCATTCTCAAGGCAGAGTTAATTTCACAGGCAAACTTTTTAGTAGGATCCTGAGCACAAACAAAACAACCTTTGTATTTGGAGGGAAGGAATGCAATACAAGCTGCATTTCTGATGCAGGGTCCTTTCCCCCCTTCTAAATGTAAAATGCAGCCAAAACTCTCTCAGAGAACTAGTTGACAGTCTCAACAAAGAAGGTAGCAAAAATGATCTGGCCTTTCAGTGGGACACACAAAGAAGAGAGCTGAGATCCTTCAAAGAAATGAAATGGCTTCTTTGTAAAACAGAAGGTGTCAAGTAGGTTCACAAGAGAGAACAATTTTACCTCTGTTTCATTTAGCCAGCTTACACTTGAGAGTTATTTCATAGTAGAGCAGCTTTACTCTGGAATTCTAAATGGAATTACAGTTCAGATGCATCTGTATTACATTATTTTCCTCATCATTTCCCATCAATGTTGCTATTGCTACTGCTCTCCTGAATGGAATAACAACAATTTAAGTTTGTCTAACCTTACTCAAGCAGCTTTTCCTATAGTAGGAAACTACCTGGCCCTCTATTAGTATTGCATTTAACTTTCTATAGTTTGGTATGTCATCAGTATTCAAGTGTAGCCTTTTGTGCAATAATTTAGTGGACTTACCTTTGCCTCACAAAAACCATCCTTTCTTGGTCAAATCTACCCAATCATCTATTTCCTTGAAGCTAAGTTCATAGCTGAGGTGAAATTTAGGATCATCTTCCAAAGATATATAATTGTAGACTGCAACAAACTAAAATAATATGTCATAACACCAGGACTCTTCAATGAATGGCATCTTCGTAATTAGTATCCTGTCCCACATGAAAAACCATCTCAAGTTTTAGCCTTCAGAACACTCTCGCATAAACAGCAAGTCAACGGCCTAATCCAATGATTTACCCACCCTTTACATTAATCAGTGAGTGTGTGCCTTATATATTGACGAGTCCTGGTGTTACATATGTATATATAGATTCTTCTCTTTCTAATGTAGTTTACAGGGTTACTATAGCAACCTGCGTGTGACCTGCATAATCAAGATAGCTGGGAAGAGCTGTTAGCTGAATTAATGTATTTATGGGCATGAATAGGAAACTTTAAAGATTAATGGACCAAGGGATTCTGATATATTATAAATACAGCTCTAAAACAGATTGGGCCAAATCCATGCTGGGTGTAACCCCACTGAAATCAATGAAGCAAACATCACGGATGAATTAGTACCACTTTGGGAATATCCTATCATTGAGGTTTTGACTTAAAAATATGTACAAGAAAAACTGTGTTTTGCTCGTAAAGAAAGGTGCAGTAGGCAGACGCTTAAGGGATTATACGAAGTTGGACTGAAAAAGGCACAAATAACTGAAATCTGTCATACATCATCAGCAAAGGCACCATTTAGAGATGCGGCTTGCTTTTCATCCCTTCACCAGCCAGGTGTGAGAGGCATACACGGATTGCAAGCACTTTCCCCTCACTCCCTGATAGTCCAGGAACAGGATGAAAAGCAAGCTGCATCCCGGAGCACACGGCTGCTGCCCCCACTACCCACCCAAAATGGCGCCTTTGATTCATCAGTGACTTTGTTTTGCTAGTAGCTAGTTTTGTAAATTAACAGTTTGTGTATAGTGTGTGTTTGTCATTTAAGTCTTCTTATTTCATCCATTACAGCAAATAGGTTAAAGAGAAACGGTAGCCTCATCAAAGCAACCACCAGCCCAGGATAAATCTGTCTGCCCTAATCTGCAGTCAGTTAGTAGCTGGTCATACTAAAAAGACATTTGTGTAATATGCTAAAATGATTGTATGTGGATTATATGTGGATAATGTTCCACATAGTGGCTGAAAGCTAGCAAACAAGCAAAAATCACACACACACACACACACGCACTTTTGTGAAGTTAGCAGAACAGCAAAACAATTTTCAAAGATCAACATCGATGGAAATGGTGCCAGAGCAAGCTAGTGGATAGCTTAGAACAGTATTGCAGACAGATTATAATACACTAGTCAATCACAAAGCCAATGAGTCATGGTTGAAAACCTGGCAAATAGGGGGCCACAGAAACGGCATGAAGACTGGAAAGAGAAAGAAGAGTAAACTGGCTTGGTCATCACCTGGACATAAAAGACCATTTCCACTAATCATAAGCGGAGGTGGGCTGGCAAAAATATGTGAGCAAAACAAATACAAACATTAACACCATGTAGAACAGGGAACTACATGATGAACTTGAAGAATAAGACATTTATTAGCACCCTGGAACGTAGGAACATTATACAAGGTGAAGCACTTGTAATAATGATGTATGAACTGAAAAGATATTAGTGAGAAATCAGTCAGTCTGTGCAAAACAAGGTGGAACAGTAAAGAAGAATTCTACCATGATGAAGATAAGATCGTGACATTGGGAGGTTAAGATGGAAAAATAGGATAGAGTGATATTGGTTCTGAAGCTGAAGGCAAGACAGGCTCTTATGCCATTTAACACAATATCTCCTTGTATGGTGAAGGACAGATTCAGAATCAAATCCAGTCCAGTTACATTAGTACAAGTTCATGTATTGACAGCAGCAGCACCCAAAGAAATTGACAAAATTTATAATAATGCACAGAAAACAAATACAAATAGTTTTAAGATAAGTTACTGGTGATGGGGGATGTTAATGCAAAACTGGGATCAGATTAGAATTCCAGTGCCGATGCAACAGGCATGTATGAAGTAGAGGAATAAAATTGAAGAGGAGAAAGTTACCAAATTTTTGTCTGTGCAACAACCTGGTGATGACAAACATGCTATTTGAAAAAAAAAAGGTATAGCAGAAGTGGACATGGATATCAGTTTATGGGCAAATGAGACATATAATAGAATTTATATTTCTATATTACTTATAGAAATCAAGTATGTTGCTATGCAGATCATTGTAGGCAATGTTGAATAAGATCATAAATTAATGCTGGTATCAATTAACTTGAAACTGAAATCAATAAAGAAGTGCCAAGAAATAAGATGGATGAAGAGGACAAATTGAAAGAACCAGATTTCAGGAAAGAATACAAAGCAGATGTGTAAAAAGTTCACATATCTGGTGAAAGAAGAAATGAAAATTGAAGAGCCTTGGAACAGTGTAAAAAAAAGGATTTTCAGAGCAGCTAAAGAAGTATTGAACTACAAGGCCAAAATGAAAAAAATTAAAATGGATAATGGAGGTAGAGGTGAGTGACACATGTAATAAAATGAATGAGAATAAAAAGAGGAGATAAGCCAAGAGCTAAGTGCAACAGGCTGGCCAGAGAGAGAAAACAGAAAGCAAAGAAAGAGAGAAACAACTGGATAAGTATAAAATGTAGAGAAGCAGAACAACACATGAAGAGAAATGAAACACGAGAACGGAGTACAACATCTAAGCCAGTGTTTCTTAAACTTTTTAAGACTGAGAAACACCAAACTTCCTGTAGTCAGCACTGGTCAGTTTCAGCAGCGGCTGACTTGGGGACGCCTGGGGCAGAGCAGCTGGGGTGCTGCCGGGTTGGTCCAGTAGCACCCAGAGCGGCGCTACGGGACCAACCGGCAGCGCCCCAGCTGCTCTACCACAGGCGTCCGGAGCAAAGCCGCGGAGCACGGGGGCAGCGGGACAGCCCAGACGCGCCGTGGCTGTCCCGCTGCCGGTGTCCTCCGAGGCTTTGCTCCCCGGTCTCCCTGGTCTGCTGGTCTCATAAGTCGGATCCGCGTAACTCGGGGACTGCCTGTACAGAATGGAGGAAAATCTGTGCAGAGAAAACTGCTTATTATCTCAAATAGCGCCATGTGAAGGGTTCACAAAAAAACCCCTCCTGAGTCCAGATTATATCACCTAGGAATTAAAGGTAAGACATTCTTGGGGAAGGATGCTTCAGTTTATTTCCCTAGTGAGCTGCGTGAACCTGAGTTTTTCTGATGTTTGGGGTATGTGTTTTGCTTGCCTTTAAATGGAATGCCAATAACCAACACCCACATGCTCGGGAACATTTGGACTAAGAGATTAATCTGAAACCAAACTCTGAAATCTGGGAACATCTCTACTAACACTTTAACCACCAGGCCAACCTTACTCTCCTTTCTACACAAAATATACCATGGTTTTACTTATATTCTTTCACAGGGAGAGAGAAATTTATCGTGTGTCTTTTACTTACAGTGGTTCCTAAAATACTCCAGACTTTTAGTTCCTTATATCTCTAATCCATGAATATTAATAGTCTTAATTTCTCCAGCTGTGCTTTCTCATAGCTGAATGCCTTTGCACAGCTCCTTACTAATAAACCTTCTCTATGGTGTAGTGAATTCAATCAGTTCACAATTACTGATCCAAGATACCCTTACCTCTACAATCCAGTTAATCGCTTCATTAGTCAATACCAAAGCCAAACCTGTCTCACTTTTAATCTCATGGGATAATTTTACTCCCCAAAATTGAGAGGGACATTAAGCTAGCTCTGCAGATACCCACAATCCCAATATTCACCATTAACTCCAGGAGCACTTCCACCCACATAGTTACACTATGAATTTCCTTTTCTAAGACAATGAAACTCTATTATGTGTGTGCAAGGTACATATTCATTAACAATCATAATATGCATTAACAAAAATGGAGCAGAATAATGCTTTTTTGTTTCTGTAGAACTAATTGATGTATAGTGTATCATAGATAACCCACGGATTCATTGGTACTACAGTGCTTCCTCATTAAGACACCAACATGCATTTAGTAAACAGGTGGTTGTCATGAAAGATAGCAAAACATATTCAAGTCAGGAATGACCCAAGGGTAAAACTTTCCATTGATAATACACGTGCAGTTGCTGCTACCTCATGGGAGCTGGCATCAGGCTTTTGGTCTTCAGGAAAATCACTAGTGGCAAACGATGAAGGTTCCTGGTTTGCTAAAGGACAACTAAACTGAACAGTCTTCTTCTCAGAAACCAAACCAGAAGAACCAACAGTCTCAACACTGATTTGAAATGGCACAGAGAGATCCAGATTTTCTAAGATAGTCTGAAATGAGAGGAGATCTCCATTTTAGAAATTGATTCAAGTCATACAGTAGAGGAATATAATTCATATTATCATAACTGATTAATACAGAATTATATGTAATACTAATTAGGTCATTTTTTCACAGGTATAAATGGGCACAGCTTCTTTGACTTCAGTAAAGTTTTGCCTTTTTACATCAGCAAAGAATTTGGCATACTGCGTGCTCGTGTGTGCCTGTGTAAAACAAGGAGTACGTGAATGAGGACAAGGTGAAATGTTATACAAGTTTTACTAGCATAAATTTGGGATGGTCACATTATGTCAAAGCCACTCTTGAATAATGCAGGTCATCTTAAATCATATCGATAAAGCCTTTGCACCATTCCCACCACCTGCTCACATATTCTGTATATGTCACATTACATAAGAAAAACAATTTACATATGCTATAGAAATATTTTAAAGTATCTTTTCTTTTTTCTCTTCTCCCTCTTTGTGGTGGGGTGTGATGCACCTATAGGTTTCAGTGGAGTATATTTATGACCCCTTGAACCAAGATGTAAAGGACTTGGAAGAAGTCATAAAAAGCCTTAAAATGAACTAAAGCAACTTTTCCATTCCTAAAAATGTCATGGCTTTCAATTCTGAGATCTCAATCCCTTTTAGGGCTAGAAAAAGGGCAGAGTCACATTAGAAAACTGGAAATTTCCCTATCCAAAGTTAGAGAGTTAAATAATATTCTGGACTTGAAATTTGATATTTTTACATCTAAAATATCCATTGCTGGTCCAGGAGGAAATCTTGCTCACACTATGCCTTGGGTAGTGATAATTTGTATGTGAGAGGCAGAATTCCACATGGTGAGGAAGGGGCTGGAGAAAGAAATATTTCTCTAGTAGGCTGCATTTTTATTTTGTTTTATCTTTTAATGGCAGCTGTTTGATTTTGCTCAGTAATCTAGAATGTTGAAATTAGTCCTTTGAGTAGATTGTAGGTGAGGCAGTCAAAGGTGCACAAAAATTAATTTATCACATCTCTCTGAAATTTATCACATCTATCTTTTACATGCATATTAACTACACATATATGGTACATACATAAACAGGAAGACAGAGAAAAATAATCCACATAATCAGTGCTGTCAAAAAATAGCCAATTGATTTATTACACTTGTAGTTCATTACAAAACATGTTTAAGAGACCAAATAACTAATCTTTTCCAATTTATTTTCTACAGACAAAGCAGTAAAGTGCAAATAGGAAAGAATTAATATTATACTAATTCTTCAGACACTTGTTTCCCACAGCCTGTAGTTCATCTTATATACATCACTAAGATCCAACCCTCAGTTTGTACTGGGGATGTGAAGATTTAACTGGTTAACTGGTGGGGCTGGGCTGCTCCAGCCTCACGGCAGGCCCTCTGGCAGGGGCTGCTCCAGATCCTGGCTGGAGCAGTCTCTGTCTGCGATGGGACAGGACATTCTGCAGGGAAGGGCTGCTCTGACTGGGATGTTCCAGCCCAGTTCATGGGCGGGAGCGGGGGCGGGGGGGAGAGAGAAGAGGGTGGAGTGTTCCAGCCCAGTGGTGGGTGAGAGGGCCCTCAGTTACCCCCTTTTAATCGGTTAACCATTAAACAATACGTTTAATCAGTTAGCCAATTAATCAGGATTTTACCTCCCTAGTTTGTACCAGTTCCCTAACTTATTCTATAATTTCCTTATCTCTTTTTTGGATTTAAAAATCAGTTGCCTGTGAAGGTATTTGTACTAGGACATACAACAGATGCATCGTGCCTTTGATAGCTTTATATTTGCTTCTGCCAAAAGCTTGCAAAGTATGTATTTCTCAGAACATCTCAACAAAGTGAACAAGAGTTGTGGGAAAGGCAGAATATCATTCAGTTAACATAACTGCCTACATAATGGGCAAAATATAAAATTAATATGGTATCGCTGCACCTAGAATATATATAGGCTAATGGTCACATAAGAAAAATCATACTATTTAATTCTGAAAAGCAATGTGTTCACCGGAACACACAGGTATACTAAGTACAAAGTATACACATATTTATTTATAAATTTCATACTGAGTCAAGGATAATTAAGATGTCTGGAAAGTGAGAGACATGTATGAAAAAGCATAGCAAAATATTACATTAAACAAATTACAATAAAATCTGTTATCTGCCGTGTTGGGGGAATGGAAGGTGCTGATTAAACAAACATTCTGGTTAATTGAGAGTTACACGTACCAATGGTGTCAAGTATCAAAGGAATATCCGTGTTAGTCTGAATCTGCAAAAGCAACACGGAGTCCTTTGGCACCTTATAGACTCAGGGTATGTCTACACTACCACCCTAGTTCGAACCAGGGAGGCTAATGTAGGCATCCGAGGTTGCAAATGAAGCCCAGGATTTAAATATCCCGGGCTTCATTTGCATCTTGCCAGGCGCCGCCATTTTTAAATGCCCGTTAGTGCGGATTCCATGCCCGCGGCTACATATGGCACGGAGTAGGTAGTTCGGATTGGGCTCTCTATTCCGAACTACCGGTACACCTCGTTCCACTCTATTTATTACTACGAGCAGTGCATGGCGTACACCCAGAATCACGAAAAATGCTCTTAATGCTAAAATTCTACTGAACATAACGTAATCTTTCTTGGATGATTCAGAAGGCATTTCAGGATCTTGCAGTGTCTCAGGGTCATCATTATCAATGTCAGTCATCAGGGCTTGCCAAGTGGCGGCGAGCCCTGCTCGCCAGCCACGTGGAATCGCACGCTGTGCATGCGCTGACCGCACTGCGTGGTTGCATTGGGCTAAAATCTACTCACCATGGGCGAGTAGATTGTCCTAATTGTCGAGCCCTGTCAATTATTACTGTAGACTTAGAAGGTGTAGTAGATTGGGCTGAATCTGTAATGGCCCATGGCACTAGTTGGGAGCTGCTATTTTTTAATAAATCCCTGATTTTAGCTTGCTTGTCTTCTGCCTATTTTACATAAAAGTAGAGTGTGAAATATGCAACAGTGTAACATACTGGGCAGTATATTTTGCCCTCTTAGTAGACTGAAGATTTGTTTTGGGAGATACCAGAAATGCCGGCTAATTGAGCTTTCTGGTTATTTGAGTGCTGGACAATAGAGCTTTTACTATTTGAGAGTCACGTGATCCATTAATCTCTGCTGCCTTACATGACAGCGCTAGCCTTTGTAGATTTTAAGTAATAACTGGAAATGATACTATGAAATTGCTGCCAATAGTTGACTGAGAATGAAACTTGGCTTTCACACCCAATGATTAATGTTGAAAAGACTAACCAGGAATCATGCTGGTGGAAAGAAGCTGACCTGTTTTCATCTGGCTGGTTATGAAAAGCCAATCAGCATCTGATGGAAGATTTTTAAGAGCTCGTAGGACAACGCACACCAAACCTAGGAAGAATTAATGTGTGCTTGATGATGCACATCATACATGATGTCCTAGGATCTAACCTTGCAGTGTCTTGCAATTCATAAGCAGCTCAGTAGAGTGGATAAAACAATCAGCCATATTCAGGCAAATGATAAGAAGATATGTAAGTAATACCAGGTACAATTGTCTTGTTTCGGGTTCTTGCTCTTGATTCTAACACAACATCCAGAGATTATTTCTATTAATGATATTGCTGCAAAAGGATGACGCTAAGCATCACTGTCTTCTAAATTACACTGTAATCAAGGGAATAACATACCCCCACCACCATCACTGTATGGTCTACCGAATTATGCAGCCCAGTGGTTTCTCCAAATTACATATTAATAACTAAAATCTTTCCACAAAAAACTCTGCTTACCTTCGTGCATGCTGAACTCATGACAGATTTGTGAAATTCCCCATCTGTATATATCTGCAGTGTAATATAAAGTTTAACAAAAGGTTAACAAGAAAATAAATAACTTGTTTGAATTATCTAATTTAGGTTGTGGAGGCAATTTGGAATTTTACCTACTGGAACTGTGAATTTGTAGGTGCCTATTCAATAGTGATTTAAATTTTACAACATCTCATTTAGGGTGACTGTCCTGGCTCTCTGCCAATGATTTCATTCTTAGCAGGTGTCATGATTATGAGGGTTAGCCAGCAGCCTGGGGATTAAAGGGTTAACTACACCTAGCCAGGTGGAGTGACCAATAGGAATGTAGACCAATAGGAATGTAGGTGGGACTTTTCAAGCAGTAATTGATTTCAATGGGACCATTCAAGGAGTAAGGAATTATTCAGCAGAAAATGGCATTGAGCAAGCACTTCAGGGTTGGAGCATTTTTTTAACTTGGCACAGTGTTCCCACAGGAGTATCACAGTCAAAGATCTTATACAACAATCTGTTTTCCAAAAGATCTAAAGTCTAGTACATATACAATAATAAAGTGGGAAATATAAACAGCATTCCAAACTACTGCCCTACCGTTATGTAAGGTACAATTTAAGGCAAGGCAGTTTCAATTAAAGCCCACACATATAAAATATATACCTATGTCTACTATAAGCCTGCAAAATATGTACATACTGTATGTTGGAGACTGTACATGTCCCTAGTGAAATCAAGAGGAGTTTTTCCATTGTCTTCAGTAAGACATAATCAAATCCTTGGTTAGGAGATTGCAATCGCAACCCTTTAAAAATTTATCAGTGAGCTCAGCTTATATATACACATGAATTTGGTGCAAACATGAATAAAAGAAATGTGTGGTAACTTATTACTCTCACAGAAACTACAGTAAAGGAGATGGGAAGACAGAACCACATCTCTTTAAAATTGATTAAGCATATAATTGCTATAGAAGAAGTATTAATATTATACCATTTTAACTACAGCCTAAAGGGAACACATACCATATACCCACAGGTCTTAAATGCATTAATCTTTGATGCAATTAGGATGATATATGTTACACAATTACAAATTGACAATGGAACAGTCTTCTCAAAAGCCACTTAAAAGGGGGGTTGTTTATAACCTTTTAAAGAAGAAAAAGGTACCATTTGGTACCAGTTAGAATTATTGAATTTATTCTTGCCAGATTACCATACAATATCTTTTTTTCAAATGATGGCAAATATAATGAAATATTCTTATAATTAAATTATATTCACCCCTTAAGCTATAGATGTACCTCATATTAAAGTTACGTGCTCTTAGTGAGGCAGCATGCTATACTGCAGAGCATCGTCTGTTATTATTGACAGTGTCTTGTATATCCTGTTAACCATGACAAATGAAATCTTTTTCTTATTGCTGTAGCATATATTTTTATTTTTTATTAGACCTCTTTGTACCTTAGAATTATGAAGGGGGAAAACTACTTGCCACCTTCCTTCTTATGAAATGTGTTGGTGCGGGTGAGGGGACAAAACGTATCACTAAACATGGCAATTCAGCATCCAGGGAAAACCAAAGAACTGGAGCAGAGACTGAAGTACCTTGTTCCCCTAAGAAGTACTTGCCTTCCAGGTCTACAAAAGCCAGCACTGTACTGCTGATCTACTCTGCAGTTACCTAAAGGATTTCCTCAGTCTGTCACCTTGCTCAAAAATGAAATGCTCTTAACAAACTTTTAATTATTGGCAAAGCAATAATCTTGTCCCCTAATAATAAGAGGAATTGGTTTTACTTTAAAGTGCAGCAGCAGCAGCAGCAGCAGCAGCACTTTTAAACTGAAAGCATGGCCATGGCAGGAGCGCTGGGAGAGAGTTCTCCCAGCCCTCTATATAAACCACCTCCAGGAAGGGAGTAGCTAAAAGTGGTGGGAACATGGCTCCCAGGGCTGTAGCCTGGTTCACACGGGTGCTTTACAGCTGCATTTGGGGGGTGTTTTTTCCCACCCAAGCCAGAAAGTTACAGCACTGTAAAGTGCCTGCACTTCTGCAATTCATAATGACCCCTTACTATTTTTAGATTCATTCATGGGAATTTTAAGTTTAGTTAGACCCATGAAAAAGAAATATTCATGGCATTTTAAAATGTAATGCTATCTAAGGAACATCAAGGCTAATACAGGATAGCATATTTTTCTATTTGTTTTCTAAAGTAAATTCAGTAACTTGTGTATCAATAATCTTTGAACAAAAATGTCAAATCTGCCTTTGTAATAAAAATGGCTTTATGGATTTTATTGAGTGTTTATAAATCAATGTGCTGTATTTGGAAGCATCCAAAATTAACACTGAGTATATGAAACCAAAAAATTATCCATGTGAAAAAACTCCTGTTTATGATGGCACAAAGCATTTTATGTAGTGTTTTACTTTGTATTTAAACATACCCTGTATCCTGTAATGAAAGTTCCATTGCTACATCCTAATTCATCTACTACGGGTCTCTCCCAGCTAATCATCATGCTGCTTTTTCCCACAGCTTTAATAATATAGACTGAACCAACCGGAGCAGGAGGTCCTAGAGAGAAAATACAAAAATCATGAAGCAAGAAGTTTCCGTCCACCAGCTTTTGGAACTACTGACATAGCATGGCCCTATCAGTGGTGAGCTATCCTTTTCTCTCCAACAACAGCCAGGAACAGGGTATTATTTGCACACCTTTAAGAGTATAAAGTATAGAGGGTATATGGAAACTGACATGTTATGCCTTCCCCTCCTCTTATTCCAAAAATAACATATCCTCCCCACCTAACTTCAAATGGGCTCATTCACCTGGATTAAAGAGAGGTGAACCAGTTGCTCTCAATGTGACCTAATAAATAAAGTGGAACCATAGACCAAGTCTAAAATGTAGTGATTAAGTTAATACACATTTCAAGTGACTATTCAAGGGGCAGTGGCCAGGTAACATCCCTCCAGTCACAGGGAGAAAAGAAATGGGCGAGGGAGGGAGTCAGCTGGGAAACTGAGAGGAACAAATTAAATTTAATTGTCAGATAATGGAAGACCCAGCACTTCCTGGCAACCAATTTAAATCTGAATTTCAGCAAGTTCTTCACACTATACAGAATGACCAATATGGTTTAAATTGTAAGAGGCCCAAATTGTGGCTTCCTCATAAACAGGCCAGTGCCACTCTCCTGCTTTGTTAAACATTTTCACAGTGCTGCGCCATCCCTGTGTCACCAACTTTCTTGAAAAACACGCAGCTGGGTAGAAAGAAACAGTTGGTATTTGGAGCCCATTCTTGCTTTTCTTGTACACACAAAACACCAATATTAAGCAGGATCTGGTCCTTTGAAGATTTTTTACTTGGCTAGAAGGAAAGTGGGTTAATCTTTATAGCTCCAATTCACCAAAGCATGTCAAGCAAATACTTCACTATAATTCAGAATGCATCCCTAGTCAGAAAAGCTCTCAAGTTGCTTTGTGCACTTAAGAATGTGCCTAAAGAATTGTGATAAACAGAGACCTATGTTTCTAGTGTTTGCTTAGTTTTTTATAATTAATTTTTATTATCATCACTATAAGTCTTATTTCTTATTTCTGTCTCAGGCAATCAGCAAAACTTTGATTGTTACTCATCTCTGTTGCTAATGATACCAATAAAATTAAAAACTACATAATCTGTAATCATGTTTATTGAAAGCTTAAGTCACTGATGTGCCATTTGATTAGTTCAATGACAGATGTTAAAGGAGACTCCCATTTAACAGTCAAGCAGTAGAAATATCAAGGAGCAAAGCAAGATGAAATAGTAGAGTATACAGTAAACATGATAATATCTGAGAAGGACAGCAGACAAACCCTCTGTGCATTAACTGAAAAAAGAGGCACTTTTTATCAGAGTAGGCCAATGCTGCACCTATCACCGTGAAAGAAAGAACTCCTTTATGCTTACGAAGGAGCAATAGTAGGTCTTGAAGATGTATTTGCATTTAAACTTTCAAGGTTTAATGTAGAACAGATAACAGAGAAGGTCAGATGAGATCATATGAAACACTAAAGCTAAGAAGCTCATACTGGATGAAAGAGAGAGTCTGAGGCTGGTTTTACCCTTGACTCTGAAATTCACTTCTCCATTAGTCTGAAACTGAATCTGAGTCAATGACCTTCAAGGCTAGTTTTAAGACCTATTTAATCACTCAGGCCTAGATCCTTGACATCTGTTCCTTCTGCTTTGCCCTGAAACAGCACAAAGCAGCTGGAGAGCTCTCCAAAAGAGGTAGCAGAGCAGTCCCATGACACAGGATTCCTAAATAATATGAAGTAGGCATAGCCTGTAGCAAATGGAGCTCAGCTGGCACAGAAAAGCCAGTAGGCCCAATCAGACTGTTACAGAGTAGTCCTCTGATCTCCTATTTACTGTTGTCTTTTCCCTCACCCTTCATTTATCATTGTCTACAATTTGTCTAACAAACTGCAAGGATTTTTGGAGGCAAGGAACTCACATTTTAACAAGGTTCATGCCTTCCAACTTCAGAGGAGTTTTTCTATGAGCTATAATTTACACCAGAGCTGAACTTTATCCTTTTAAAATTTGAGAAAGGGTGTGTCAAAAAAAATGGCCTTTAAATTTAGGCCTGTAATTCTAAATGAAGAAAATTCGGGGACGGGTGCCTAAAAACATGCATTGACCATAAACAGTAGGCACAAAATTCAGTGTTCTGCTTGATGCCACTTGGAAAATTTGGCCAAAGAAGCGCACAGTTAACAATATCCACCATTGCTAGCTCCTTGCCAGAACCAAGCATACCTTCTATGCCCACAAGTGGAATGCTGCTTATTTGTGAAAGTAATTCTAGGAAGAGAAAGGATTCAGGAAATGCAAGAGTCTTCCTCTAAAATGTATCTTGCCAGTTTCCAGGCAAGAAATAAAAAAAAAAATGTCTCTTTGCTTTCCCCAGATACTTCTAGTGTACGCCAGCTGAATACTTAAAAACATAACACAACCGCCTAGCTAAGCATAAATCAAGCCTCAGGGAAATTATTCCTAAAACTGCAACTTCAATAGCTTGAATGCTTTTGCCATCAATCTACCCAAAGCATGACCTTGGTACTTCTATAGATGTTGGCCTATTGATAGAGCTCAGCTCCTTAGCATGGCTGAACTGCCTGTGTACTGATGTCTTTATTACATTTCACCTTCCTCTGTTTTTGTAGTATAACTTAAAGAGAAAGGATCTGTTCATTTGTGTGAATTATGGCTCCAGGGCAGTGGCAACAGTATTCGCACCTCGAGGCAGCTATGGGATCATGCTTTCTATTGCATGTTCTGTTTGCACAGACAATTGGAGTTCACTTGTGTAATAAGTGAAGAATGAGATGGGATCCTCACTTGTTCCCATACCCAGCATAATTAAGGAACCATTCTATTGACAGGAATTGCTGGAGTGCAGTGCCCTGTATCCATACCCTCACACACTTCAGATGCAGCCTTTTTTTAACCTGCCTTCTTAAAAGGAGGTGGATGTACAGACGGCTTAAGATTTACTATAATTAGCCTATAACCTCATGTGAATTCATTTGTGGCCTCCACTTGCCCTTACACTGGAGTAAAACCACATTGCACTAGGCCTTAGTGGTGAGTGAAGAAGATCAAAGCTGAACAAAACTTCAGATACAACAACTGCCACTAAAGGACCTATCCTATGCTGAATCAGCACATTTGGAAACAGTACTGGGTCTTATTATTGGCGGGGGTGGGGTTGTCTCTTGACACAGCAGTTGAGCAGCAGTAGCAAATCAATTTTAATTGAGAGTAATTCTAGGGGTAAGTTTCCAAGCAATCTGAGGCTGATCAGCCAATCTTCCTTATGGCAAATAATTAAAAAACAACATGCCTAGAATCATATGCACTTAGAGTACAGGCAGTCCCCGGGTTACGTACAAGATATGGACTGTAGGTTTGTTCTTAAGTTGAATCTGTATGTAAGTCGGAACTGGCGTCCAGATTCAGACACTGCTGAAACTGACCAGCGGCTGACTACAGGAAGCCTGAGGCAGAGTTTCTCTGCCCCGGGCTTCCTGGAATCAGCCGCTGATCAGTTTTAACAGCAGCTGAATCTGGACGCCTGGGACAGAGCAACTGGGGCGCTGCCAGGTAGGTCCCTGCAGCGCCGCACCTCGGCGCTACTGGACCAACCCGGCAGCACCCCAGCTGCT